CGAGGTGAGAGAGCGGGGGAGGATTATTCAGTAATCATTTAGATTAAATCTAAGATACGACTTCTCAGAAAAGTAATGAATGAATGAGAAAGATCAGATCGAGCCTGCAGGAGCATGCACACATTTGTGTAGACAAAGTGGAGGCATCCTGTTGTTAGAGCATTCTCAAGAGGCTGGCCTCGTCTTGCCCTGATACAAAAGTATTTCTGCCCTATTTCTTTTTTCAGGATTGTGGCAAGCTGTGAGACACACACACACACACACACACACACTAATGCAGACACACACGTGCACACCTCAGTGACATTTCACATCCAGCCTCCATTCTCCATCTCAGCTCCTCTTCCCTCGTCTTTCCCGCTGCCTGCTTGCTCCCACGTGCTGTGACTCTCATTTCCACGATGGTAGTTTAACGCTGCCATCTCCTCCGCTCTAATCAAAGCCACATGGCTTGGCAGGTCAGCGTGCCAGCAGCCCACAGCGCTGCAGTGTTTTGGCTGCAAATGTGCAAGACACCGTGGCCTGTGTGTCATGCATGTCGCACAGAACAGTGGCTCCGAAAAAGGTTTTGGCTTGTGACCTCTTAAACTAAAAGATCCTCTTGTGTCATGTGTTGTATACGTCTATGAGTTGTGAGAGCTGTAATGTGTAGTGGCCTGAAGAGAATTGTCGAGTAATTCATCAGAAAAGTGTAAAGGTTGGAGAGAATGACACTATATTGTGTCGCGGAGATGTTTTTTTTTGCTTTCCTGTCCAGTTAATCTTGCCTCCACCCGTCAGATTCATGTTACGACCCCTGAGGGGAGGCCTGGACTCGACATGGACACAGAAGAGAAAGATACAGTAATGCACAGCTCCCTTTTCCTGCATGCACTCACACTCCTTGTCCACTGGCTTCCTCCGAGGGTAAAGGCCACTGATAATGACTTCCAGGAGTTGGCGATTGAGGGAAGCCAGTGTCAAGTTCACATCTGGGATTACCGGGGTTACTGGGGTGAGCGAATTTTACTGGAGGTCATCAGGATGATTAAGTGAAGAATGCCACTGAAGTGTGACTTAACAATGGGCTACACACACACACACACGAAAAAAATCTAAAAAAACTTGTGTACACGTGTTGCTCTTTTTCAAAAAGACTTTCCAACATGAATTTGATAAGGGCCACATTTGTAACAGGACACCGCAATGCTGAACATACTGGACAAGTAGCAGTCAGTGGAACATGGTGCATGTAGTTTCCCATTCCACACCCTGATGGTGGTTCTATGGGATAATAAAGAGTGTGGATGTTCCACTGATATGATTCAAATCATTTGAATGAGGGGAGGAAACAGGAAACAATAAGTGGCGTATAGATACAGTGCACACCAGCTCTGTGAGGGAGCTGGTGCAAGGCACAGTCTGATTTGAATGAGACACGAGTTCCCACAAAGCTAATTAAAAATGATTGATTCTCTACTGAAACCGATTAAAAGATTTTAGCTTGTTTTTGGAAAAGGTCAATTTTTCTGACAGTAGAAAAGAATGAAGAGAAAGATGTATGGATTTATAAAAGTTCAGGCTGCCGTTGATTTATTTTTTTACTAATCAATTTGTGACTTTGTTGATACAATGCCAGAAATTTGTGAGAAATATCAGTTTTTCCATAGTCCGAGGAGACGTCTTAGAACTACTTATTTGGTCTGAGTTTTAATATTCCAAAAAATGGAAACCCCCAAACTCTTTCATTTTATAACTGCAGTTTATCACGACATATTTGGACCACTTGAAGGGGAAAATAAAGAATAATAAACACACATTTTGTATTTCTCATGTTAGAGGGTGATACCACAAGATCAGCCTGTAACCTGCATTAAAATGATGGATGTGGAGCATTTTGTTAAGTTATACCTCAGTATATGTGTCAACATTTAAATCTGTAATGTTTTGGATCATCAGCAGCACATTATCATAAGTATCAGGACTTTGAAATGATTGTGCAAAAAACAGAATCTATTGTGAAGGTAGAACCACACAGACAGGAAATTGCCTCTTTAGTGGAGGAGGAAATATTTGGTGGTCAACTGTGAGGTTGCATTGGTTACATCTGCGTGATGTTTGAAAAAGGTTTCGTAGTTTCTCGACCAGTTAGACTGGTTTAAGATTTGGATCAACAGCAAGCACAAGTTCTCTTTTCAGCTTTTTTCTTTAAAAAAACATATTTTGTCTTATTAAATGACTATCTTAGAATTTTGAATATCTTCTCTTCAATTTGGCCCAGATACTCCGTCGTAGTTTCAATCCCTTTTGTTCTTTCTAGTTATGCTGAGTGTGTCTTTGCCGTGAACTCAGGCTGGTTAGAGTCAAGCATCGTGGTAAATGAGTCATAACGTAGTGCAGCCCGTTTGGCAGTTGGCAGCCGTATCAGTTACCAACAAGGTTCTCGGTATGAGCGACAACAGAGATGAAGACGACCAAACAAAAGAAGTGAAAAGTATATGTGTGGAAAATAGTTGGAAGGGCATATGAGGAAATGAAGATGAGTGAAAGTTGGCACTGGAGAAGCAAAATACTTGTTCCACCTCTGAAGACAAGAGGAGTCTCTCTTTACATATCTGTGGCCTTCATTCTTTCACTCTTTCTCAACCACTCCATCTCTGTCTGTTTGTGTTTGATCTCCTCTCTCGCTCTCCGTCTCTCTTTGCTGACTCACTCTCCCTATCCCTTTCTCCAAAACAATGAGATAAAAAATGACCTGCACTCCAGTCTCTAACTTTCTCACTAACCCCCCCTCCTTAGCACCTCCTCTCCTTTTTCTTTCTTCTCCTTCCCATCCTCTCCCCTTCTGTTTTCCCCTTCTCCCTCTCTTCAACATGCTTGAGGAATGTGTCAGAGCAGCACAAAAGAACAAAAGCTTGACAGGAGGAGGAGGAAGAAGAAAAGGAGGGGTAAAGGGAGAAAGTCGAGTGAGGTAAAGGAGAGACGGAAAGGTTGAGAGGAGCAGAGCTACGGTTGAATGGGTCTGAATGGCGAGCGGTGCTTTGTCATCACGTGCTGACATACAGCATCACACACGTTTCAGAGCTCTTCATCAAACGTGCACGCTCTGAACGAGCACGCACACACGATGGGTGAGGCTGTCACTGTGCTATACTGCCCGTTTGATTCAGTGGCCTTTCATGCATTTCTCGATATGTCATGGTAATATGCAAAAGGCCTGCATGTGGTGAGGCCGAAGATGGATTTCCCAGCGCTGGACAGCTCTCTATTATAACCTTTGTGTTTGCATCAGTCACTTTCAGACTGGGGGCATCATTAATTCGCTTTGTTCTGGACAGGCCGCGTTCGACAGACCACCATAGCAGCAGTAAATCAGACTAATGCCGTGCTTCAACTTGCATAGACTGCATTAGATGTGGACTCTTCAGAGTTACGTGTGCACACAGGCTACTCGACTTGCTTGTGTTGTCCAGTTGCCACATGTGCAACTTCTGAAAGGTCCATGACCTGGATGACTGAGAATCTGCACAGACCTACCTGGCCTGGAAATCATATCTTTATGCTTTAATCTGACAGATTGTTTTGTTTCAATGTTGTCAGAGCAAAACCATATGGAGTTAACAAATGCAAGTCAGCTGCAAAAAGTGAGTGACAGGAAAGGAAAGGAGAGAGGATGGGAGATTGGAGTGGAAATTACAGCTCTGATTTGGCTCACCTCAGCTGCTTGGACTAGGAGGAACTTGTGAGGGCATACATGCTGTGAGTGTGGCATGGTGTGTGGCCAAAGACCTCTGTGCGCTGATGAGGGAAACAATGTGAGCACACATCAAACAGACCTGAAGCCAGATGCTGGATTTGGATACAGGTCCATGCGTAAAAGCCAAACGCACAAGGGTGTATCGTGTTACTGTGAGTCTGTTGTTCACCTTTGTTAGTTGGTGTGCCTTTGTAATAAGTCTGACACTTTACCGGTGTGTTAGTGTGTGGACGTGTAACTCATATGGTTTGCTGAAGGGACCTTCTCCTGATGTCTCCTTCCTCCCTCCATCCCCCAAATCACCCGGGTTACCACGCGCTAATATCGCGGAGCAGTGTAGCGGATAGAATCATCCATCATGAGTCAATAGTTAACGTCGGCTTTGTCCCGGTGCTATCCATCATCAGCCCGTGCGTGCGCGCAAACATACAGTGTTTGTGTGAGTGTGTGTTCTTTATAGGACTACCTCCGACCCCGAGGGCCCCTGACCCTGGCCTGTCTGATGACGCGCTGTTCCAAGTGGCCCCGTGTCTCCTCCTCTCCCCTCTCTTCTATCCGAAAAGCGAGGAGGCGCAAAAGCTCCCAGGACAGACCGGCGACCTGCGCCAGTCCCCCCTCTCAATTCCATCTACGACTCTTTCTGTTCTTCTCCCTCGCGGGTCCTTGGTGTTTTTTCCTCTGACGCAGGACCTAATTAAATGGACAGTCCACCGGTGGAGACCAGGAGCTGTATCCCATTACCACCGCTTTTATTTTTATGACACAGCGCGGTGGCGCACAGGGAGGGGAGGGGGGTGAACTTGGCCTCTCTCTCCACACGCACACAAACACACACAAGCACGCACACGCTCTGCCACCCATTCAGTCTGGCAGTTGACTGGTTCTTCCTTCACACCGCCCTGCCAAGACGACAAGTTCTGTCAACAGACTGGTTTGGCTACATCCTCCCTGTTTTGCGCAAATGTTTGCTGCACTGAAGTAATTCTCTCAAGCAGGTCATTACTGACGGTCTCACAATAGCAAAACACCTCATACACCTAAATACTTCATATCACATCACATCCAGCGGCGTCTCCAGCGCGCACAGGAACATTATGGCGCGCGGTCACTTTGGCTGATTCAAGGTACGCGCTTGGATGAGAGGCGCGCATGTTGCCAGCAGGGGGTGGGTGGGGGGGGAGTAGTGGTCAGGATGAAGTCTGTCTGTAATCTGTTGGTCTCCGGGGCGTGTCCTCATAGAAGGTGGGTGTGCGCGTCCCCTTTAGTTGCCTTCTGTGCCATTCATTCGGAGCACAGCCGCTCATAACGTGCACCGGCACATTGATGAGAGAAGAGCTGTTTTACAGTCCACCGCTCATTCAGGGAAGAGGACAGAAGTAACTGAACAGTCAATCCACAGGGTGCGCCCACACACCCAGACCAGACGGGACAAGTGAAGCCTATCGGACGCACAGACGCGCACCAGCAGCAGCGCAGGGACCTTCAGACTTGGACCTGACAGTTCACCTAAATAAGCAAACTACCTGCAGCAGAACATGGAGCGCAAAATCCCTGATTTCGCCGGACGCTGGGATATGAAGAGCTCTGAGAACTTCGAGGAGCTCTTGAAAGCTCTTAGTAAGTGATGATTTTACAAAAACTCTATTGGTAGCAGCTTGATTCAGTTTAAGGGCGGTTTCTCATGACGCTTTTATTTCTGCTTGATGACACAGATCAGATGTGTCAGCTCAAACTGTAGCTTTTTATCCAAGCACATTGTGGGTCAAATTGTTCTGTGTCCGTGCACCAGGGGAGGATCACCCTCTGTACTGCATGGGTGGGGGGGCTCTTTGTCATTTTGCTCGACCCAAAACTCAGTGCTTGGCCCCTGGCCAGACTCACCCCTTTTTCTCTCCTCTCCCCCCTTTGGCCTCCCCTGCTAACACAATAGAGACAAACGGCGGCACATCTGTCTGTGTCATAGCCTCGGATTGTGTGTTTGTGTGTGTTGGGGAAGACTGTTGTGACACGATACAGTGCTGGACAGTCACATCCTTATCTGAAGTGACAGTCCGGCCTGAGAACAAACACCTGCTGCTGAGACCCACTGTGCGTCCTGCGCCCCATCACTGCACAATTGTAGTCTGCAGGCAAGCGTGTGTGAGAGAGAGAGGGAGAGAGCTGTCTGTCATTAATAATCAATTTCCATTGGCTTCCTTGTCAATGCACACCTGGAATTCATATCATCATCTGTCTCATTCCCTCACCCTCAACTTTTAATATGAAGGTTAATGACACTATTCAAATTATTCTGAGTAATTCCAATTTTCTTTATTGACAGATGTCCTAGTTCCAGTTGAATTTATCTCCATCTCTTTCTTTATGATGTGTGTGTGGTCCAGGTATGTTGTGGGGTGTCTTCCTTATGGGGACAAAAAGCAAGTCCCCATAAAATAAATCCTTACATGTCAAAGTGAAGACATGTTTTAAGGTTATGTTTAGGCTGGGGTTAAGGTTGGTCAAGTAGTAACTATGGTTAAGAGTAGAGGACGTTTTGTGTGTTTGTGAGAGAGAGAAAGTAAGAGCGAAGCAGAGTTCGATATCCAAAAGAAAGATGACGTGCATGCCCCCCATGTGAAATGTAAGGTGATTTTAAACTCCACCCGCACGGTTGTACTTTAGCAAATAGAATCTTTCTCTCACCCCCTCTCTAACACACACACACACACACACACACACACAGTCATGCATCACAGCATGTGTCCTATATAACGTCCGTCTGCATCGGCACGACTGACAGAGAGGGATGGCCCCTGGTTTCATTGGGGAACAGATCACAGCTGGACACAGCCTGTCAGCACCCACCCTCCTCCTCCCCTCCATCCTCTCTTCCTCTCCTCACTCCTGCTGTCCTCCCCTCTAAACTCCCTGTCATCCCAGTGTCCCAAATGCTTCCTCTGCCCTCTGCTCTTTGACCTAAGACCCTGATCGTCCGTCTATCAGTGAGTGCGGGTCCTCATGTGGGCAGGTCTGTGTGAATATAAGCTCATTGGTCACAGGTTTGTGAAAGTCTGTTCAGGTAATTCTCTAACATCTAACAACTGGTAGATACTTGAGAAGCTCCAGCTCCTTCTGTTGAACCCTAAATGGTCCCCAGGACACTTTTCTCCCGTGTCCAGGCCAAACCTGCACATCGGTAACTGTCTGCAGGTCAGTTTGTTGCCTGGAAGAATCTAAAATTTGAGGAAGGATATTCTCCTCAAAGTTACATTTTCACCAATGTCTCTACAGCTACAAGGCATTTCAGTATTGTAATGTATTTAGAGAGGTTTTTCTCACATTTCAAGGTTTGAATTTTTTGAAATGATCTGAAAATTGTTTGTTGAATCCACAAAATTATTTGAAATAGGGCTGCAGTTATGTAATTCTCATTATTTAACAATCCATCAATTTCCTAGATCCATCAATACATTGTTATCCTATCATGCTTGTAAAATTTCAAAAATGGTACAAACTGTATAAAATGGGAAAAAAAACAACAAATATTTAATAAACACTAAAAAGCAAATGTTTGATGTTTTTACTCAGAGCTAAAAGTGCAGCAACTTAGTGGTAAAATGCAGAAGAAAAGTAGCTTTAATTCAAGTTGTAAAAATACTTAAGATACTTTCAACTCAAAAATCAAATTCATCATTCAAACATATTGACCTTCGTGCACTTCGACACATGACAAATGCATACAATGTACACTAGACAATGAAAATGCACACACACACACAGATGTATATCCAGCTCATGCAGTACACACAGTAAGCAGCCTGATGCATGCTGAATGACTGTGCATTTGTCAGTATGTATATATTTACCCTTGGTGACAGGTGGGAATGTGTGAGAGGTGAGAAGTGCGAAACCCAACTCGACGGCAGATACACACTGGCTGACGTACACACACTTCCCCTCACACTTGGGCAGAAATCTTCACACACCACACACAGACCACTGCCCCTCATCTGTCTGGCTCTCCCCCTCCTCCCTTCCCCCCCTCTGTCCACACCGGTCTGCTCCCTGTTCCTCTCTTTTCCCACGCTGGATCATCAGTTTCCCTCCTTATCTTTTTTCATATATAGTGTCCGGACTGTGCTTCTGAAACATTTTCTCTCAAAATATTTATTCTCATACATATAATTTTCTATTGGTAAAAAATGTTTGCAGGAGACATTTATCCAAAACCCCCAAAAAAGGTATTTGTACAGTTGTAGAATGTTTTTGTGTCACTCTGGAGCTTATAAACGTGGATAAATTGTTCAAAAACAAAGATTAATCAGAGTAAAGCTGACTCCGCATCCTGAAAATCCTGGTTCGCTCACTCCCTGCCTCCTCTGGGAGATAATACTGTATAATACACACACGCACATAGGCAGACACAATCTGTGTGTGTGTGTGTGTGTGTACACGCAATGAGAATCAAGTGTGGAGGGGAATGCAGATGTGCTGGGCATGCTTTGTCATATGACCTCATTGTTTCCACTGTCATTATTGGACAGAGCTGTGCAATGCAAGACTCCTCCTCCTCCTCACACACACACACATGCGCGCACGCACGCACGCACGCACGCACGCACGCACGCACACACACACACACACCCTGTTCTTTTATAATCTGTCAGTCTCCTTAAGGAACTATTAACCAATTATTAACACAAAAACGATCTCTCCTCATGAACCGAGTTCACCTCTTGTGTTTACTGTTTGCATGAGAACATTCAATCCACAAAACCACAACACAAGTGTTTGCTTGTGTCCTTGTGAGTGTTGACCTTTATACGAACCTCACATCTCCGCTTACACAATCTTACAATCATCTCCTTTTTCTTACTTGTTTTTTAGATGTGAATGTGATGCTGCGTAAGATCGCGGTGAAGGCGGCCTCCAGGCCACAGGTGGAGATCACACAGGATGGAGAGACTCTGTCGATCATAACCTCAACCACAGTCCGCACCACTCACATCACCTTCACCGTGGGACAGGAGTTCAACGAGAGCACAGTGGACGGACGCCCCTGCACGGTACACAATGCTCGGTCACATATTCCAAAACCTTCTCTCAGTTTTCCTTGGACTCACACACACGTAACTACACAAACACAGCAGTGATGGGGAGGGAGCAGTCCAGATTACATCAATCTGTTTCATTTGGCTTTTCATCATATTTGGACTGATAGCATAATTTTACCCCTCCCTTGGTCTCTGAAGGCCTATCATGCTACACAACGCTCCTTCACACTCTTTACAACCCCCTTTCAACTTCCCGTCTTCACTCCGTTCCCCCTTCTTGCCCTTTCCTGCCCTCCGTCCCTCCCTAATTCTCCTCATTGCTCGGCCCGTTTTCCCATAGATGGCCTCTGTTTGGCCGTCTCCAAAGCAAACACATGCGACCAGCCAGTGCTTTGCTGTACTAACGATGAGCGCATCACAAGTTCTCACATCTCAGTGATCGCCCTGCTCAACCTTAGTTGTTTTCTCTCACCATCAGCCACTCCCTCATCATCTCCCCTTCCCTAAGAATGGTATTGTATTCATCCATCCATCAATACATAAAATAATGACCATATTCGTCTGTCTTCTCTCTGTCCACAGAGTTTTCCTCGTTGGGAAACAGACAGTAAGATCAGCTGTGAGCAGACTCTGCAGAAAGGAGAGGGGCCTAAGACATCCTGGACCCGAGAGATCACCCCTGACGGAAAACTGATCCTGGTACTTTAACAGAGTTTAGATTCAGAAACCAACAAGGTTAACACTTCACAGTAGATCACAGACTCGTGGTCTGTGATCTACTGTGAAGTGAAGTGTAGACTGGTTCTCATATTTACCCCATGTGTGTTTTTTAATTGTTACTCTTAAATGTAAAATTATTAATCTGATCTTTCCTTGAACTGATGTATTTCACCTGTAGGTACAAGTATTTTATTACTAAGCCATTTGTAATATAAGTTGACACTATAATTTGACATGTATAATTTTTCTGTCAGAAGATAAATAAAATTTCAAGATTACAAAAAGCACAAAGGCATGAAAAGTAATAAAAACAGCATCTCATCAAAATCAAAAGAGAACAGGGAATAACCAAAAAAATGTCGGTAATATTTACAGTTGAAAATTTGATTTAAAAAAGCATTTTTAAGAAGTATACAAATAACTAATTGACCCAAGTTGGCACACACACACGCCCCCCCCCCCACACAATCCTCTGTGGAGCAAATTATTTTTGAATTGAACAAACTGTAAATAGAACAGGGATTTATAGGGCGATGCTGAAACGTTGGCACTAGAGTTCAAATCTAAGCCAAGTCTAAACCCACAACAGTTTTTTTAGACGCCAGCAGGAGAGATGCTGAGCTGAGCATTTTTACTCAACTCAACTTTCCGTAAATTAGTTTTCATTTAAGAGTTTGGCGCGGTGAGATCGCGTCGGTGGAATAAATACAGAAAAAACGGTGACATTAGCTCAGTTTGGAGGTTTGGATTGCTGGTTATAAAACATAATGAACTTTTAAAATGAGTTTGCAGACAGGATCCATATTACAACACATTCTCCTTTTTTCTTTTCAGACCATGAGAGCTGATGATGTGATTTGCACCAGAGTCTACGAGCGACAATGAACAAGAGCACTTCTCACTTTTCTTCCTTCCCTCTCTCCTGCATCACCACCCACCCCTCCACTTTGTCCAGGTGGCGCTGGGAGATCTAGTCTGTAGTTAGATTCCAGTACCTCTGTTAGCTTCACAACATTTAGTGTGATAATTGTATCTAGTATGTCACAGACCTACACAACAGTCTTAGCTTCTGACTTATCCGTCTTTCCAGCTTCATCACACGTGACCTGCTGGGTTTTAAACACGAAAATGTTGATTGTATGTTTGATCTGATCAGTGAAAGCTCATGTATTTGGCATCGTGTGTGTGTGTACGTGTGTGTGTGAGTGAGTGTGTGTGTGTGTACGTGTGTGTGTATGTGTGCGTACGTGTGTGTGTGAGTGAGTGTGCATGTGTGTGGCAGCAGAAGAGGTGTGAGACTATATTTGTAGATGTGTAAACCAATCTATGAGCTCTTCCAGTTTCAGGTCAGTTTCGATGAGTCCCTCCTCTCTGCTCCTTCAGCCCTGTCTAACGCTAACCTTTTTCTCATGATGACATTTTATATTTATTACTACACTAGAGACGGATACAGTACAGCTACGGTTTTTACTTTGTGTGTCTTTCATATGAAATGTGATCATAGGAAACTTTCTATGGGAGAACAATAAAGCACGATATTAACTCAGCGTGACGTCTTCCACTCTCTCTCCTGTGCTGAAAACAATTAACAGCACTTAATGTTGCGTGTGTTTTATGGTTTGTGAGTGTAGCTGTGGAATATGTGCACATTAGATGGCTCCATCTTATTTTAGGCTTTCTGTCAGCTGTCTGCAACTAGAATAACTTGTCTGTCCCCTCCCTGCCAGTCTCCCTCTGAGTTTTTCTGTCTTCCCGTCCGTCCCTTCCTCCTCTCTCTCTCTCTCTCTCTCTCTCTCTCTCTCTCTCTCTCTCTGTCAATCATCTCTGCGCCACATGCCCTCATTATGTTTCCGTTTCATTTTTTTTGTCTTGGCTCACTTTTATTACACATTTCATTTGAATCTGCTCATCCTGCAACTTTCCCTGGCATGATGCGACACACACACACACACAGAGGCAGCTGCAGGAATACCAGGATTAAACCCTCCTATGTTTTATTTTTGTTTCTTTTGTCATTTGGTTTTATTTGTTTCATATTTTTCTCGTAAAAAAAATAAAATAAAATGCAGCTTGACTCAGAGTGATTTGTTTGACTTTTTGGGAAACTCATTCGGTTTCTTGTTGAGTTGGAGGAAAGGACTTTCCCTTACCCGATTCGAAAGTGGTGTCAATGTTTTCATTAAACTTCTCAGCAAGACAGATTTGACAACATATTTCTTCCAATGTGTTAATGAATTCCAACAGAATCCATACTGTACCTTTACTGCACCTCTTTTTTTCACTTTCCACATAATAATCAGGGGTACACATTCACAAACATTCACATTCATACACTGTATCTATGTGCAGAACTTAAGTTCAGTAAACCAAGCACACCAAGGAAACGGGGGGAGACTGGGATTGAATCAACAACCCTTTGATTAGTGGATGACCGGCTTTACCTCCTGAGCTACAGCCGCCCAAATACAAATTATTTGGCTTGAGGCCTGGGTAAGACGAGGTTCTAAAAAATGTAGATGTAAGATATTTATTTGAACTATTGTTCATTTTAATGTACTTTAACTTAACTTTGAGCTTCCTCTTAAGAAGTGTGACCTTGCACAACACTCCATCTGTTGTTATGGTAACAAGCAGGGTGATGAGACAAACAGAGGTCGACCTGGGACCTTTTTGGACCAATCAACAAATGGTCAGAGGCCGAGCATCAGGGGGCTTGTCCCCAATAGCAGGAAATGCCAATTGGATTACAGGGTAGAGCTGATTAACGGCAGATGTGCTTAACAAGGAGTGGGCCGTTCAGGGACCTGGAAATGGAAAAGGTGCTGGGGAGAGAAAGATGGATGGGATGACCCACGGCCCTCACTCACGCACACTTACAGTTATACAAGTAAAAACTAGATAGGGATGGATTCCTGAGCGAGGGATTTAGTGACGCAAAACTGCTCCTTTTAAACAAATTATCTCCTCTTTATTTCTCTTCTTGCCCTGCAGCTGAGTGTAGTTACAGTGTGACCCCAATAAAGTCTCCTCCTCTGCCTCCTGCCCTAATAAAAAGGGGTAAATAACTACCCCTCCCTCTCTGTTTATTACCCCCTGGGGCAGTAAAAGGCAGCTGTCAGGCCCCCTTCAAAAGCCCGGCCTTCACCGTACCCCCCTGTTAAAAAAAACGACACACATGTACACACATTCACATACCAAACTAAAAACACACATTCTGGGAACTCTTCACATCCACTCATGAAACGCCCACACTGTACAAGCAGCTCATAAAAACGCTGCTGAGACTCACCCAAAAGGTGAAGAGACTAAATGCTTTGGTGCACAAACCTGTGGAAACTTCTCAAACATGAAGCACAAGATGATCTGAATTGTTTAAAAAGAACAAACTAAACTGAGCACGTCATTTCTGCTGCTGACATCCCTGAGAGCAATGTTCTCCCTGCAGGTTGTTCGCTCGACAGAAAACTTAAAAAGAAACCGAAAGCATATGGATTGTTCGGGAACATCACCACAAACGTATCTGACACAAGGCGACTGCACACGGAAAAAAGCAAAAAAACACTTGCTCTGTATATCGACAAAATAGAAAACACTTGTATGTAAATGAATGAAATGCCTGCACACATATCCTAACCATAGACAATCAGCAGATATCTGAATACAAGCCCTACATTTGTGTCAGAGCAGAATAGTGAAGGGGCCCCGGGGCCATGGCTGAGTCAGGGTGCTGTTTGATAGATGACTTATGTGCAGGGGAGGAGTGGAGTGAGTATAGTCTTCTGCATATTTGAGTGTGTGTGTGTCACAAAAGGCACAACGGGTGATTTGTGATCTGGTTGAAGACATTTTTGCCATGTGGGTCAAGTGCATTCTGAGTTAGATAGTAAAGAAGTGGCTTATAGTGAACATGCCCTGCAGCGGGTGAAGCAGGAGAGCATGCTGGGTAAAAAAAGAGGCACAAGCTTTGCGGCGGGTCTGATGTTGCACATGCACACATTTTCATAGAGAGCATGCATGTGACAGTACGATGACAGGTGAGTGTCATTAAAACACGCTCTCATACTGTACTGTCACTGTTGAGGATACTGATTTACACTCACACACACCTGCAAGCCAACTGACACACACACACACACACACACACACACA